ACTAAGAAAGACCAGACTGTCACGGAGGAACAAGCCTAACAGGTGACATTCCGGAGCTGTCCTGCCACAGGTATGTGCTCAGCTGGCAGGGAGACAGTCACCCCATCTGTGCTTCAGGCTCTGAGCTAGGAGCTACACCCATATCCTTTGCAACATTCCACAGCTTGCAGGAGTTGACATTAATGTGAACTGTAAATCCTGGCACAAGTTTGCAAGGGCTGTGGTTTCTGGAAAGGTCTCAGCACTGCTGCAAGGCAGACACAGAGCCTGCACAGGTGTAACTGAGCCTGAAGGGAAAGTGGTTTTCCCTTTTTTCTTAAAATAGTTTGTGTTGGTACCTTGAGAGATTAGGACGCAGATACAAAAAACAGCAAGTCAACACCAGAGAGCTAAAGTTTACCTTCAGGTGGCGGAACCCTGATCATTTAACAGCTCAGTAAAGCTCCAGCTGAAGCCTGCCTAATAGGCTGCTAGCTTTCCTTGTAGATATCATCATCCAAACTCTGCAGGATTTGGTATCAGACAGCTCTTGCTCTTCCTCGCAGGCTGTAACAAGAAGTTCTTAGTGACAGCAATTTCAATACTCCTACACCTGGTAAAAATTTGCTGGCAGCTTGCAAATTTTTAAAGTCCACTCATTTTTCACTTCTTCCTAAACCATGTATTTGATCTGTCTTTTTTTTTTTTTTTTTTTTTTTTTTTTTTTTTTTTTGGTAAGGTTTAGCATTTAATTACAGAAGCCCATTACATCTCGCATCAAATAGCCCCAGAACCTTGGATAGCCTCTGGAAAAGCCTCGGCCATGATCCTGGGCTGAGAGCAATACTGTTTGGGAGACATTCTTCCAGACAACAGCAAAAGCAAGGAGTTGTGATTGAATTTTCCCTCCCCAGCACCACCTTTATATGTGGCCCATTGTGGTGCTCAGCTGTGTGGGGCTGTGCTGAGCAGCAGCACCTGGTCCCTGCTGAGTTAGGGCACACCTGTGAGCGGGCCTCGCTCCTGCCTCAGAAACCCGGTGCTGATGATTCACAGATCACCTTTCTATTGTACCCTACTGTCCTGAGCTTTAGAGTCAGCAGATAGCCATGTAAAGCCGTTTGGTGCTCCGTGGAAAGGGGAAGGGAAAGGGAAAAGTAGTAAGAGAGTGAAACTCCCTGCACTCCCACATAGAGGGGGCAGTCATTTTGCTCAAGAGCTCAGCTGTGCTGAGCTTTGCATTCTGCCTGACATAAGAGAAAGCAGCTGGTCCAGCCAGCTTGTTGGAGACTGTCTAAAGTTGTGTGCTAGGCTAAAGCAGGAAAACAAAACTTTTAAATGCTTTCAAACAAGAAGACTGTTTGAAATTCCCAGAAAATGGTTTGCTGGACAGCTAAATGGCAAAATCCTGATGTGATCCAGTCTTCAGTGATAGAACAATTTCCCTCCAGTCTCCTCTTTCTCTCCTTGTTCCTAGACACTTTATCTGCTCTGCTCATTATAATCATATTTATTTTCCTGCTAAGTGGGTACATTTCTGTCTGTACTTGTTGCAAAAATGTTAAAAAATGTATTGGTAATACTCATTTTTAAATCTTTTTCTTTAATCTGATAACTGTGGACCTTATGTGGCAGGTAACCCCCAGTGACACATTTTGACTTACCCCATCATATGCTAATGGGAAAACCCACAAGAGCAAAGCCAGTGCTCCACTCTGAAAAATGAAATGGAAAACTAGATTGAAAAGTTCAAGATTTGACATTTTGTAATGCTAGATAACACTGACTCAACACATTGTTTGACAGCTCTATGTCATTGCTCTATTACACAGCCCCTGGCTAAATAAAACAAGCACATCTATATGGTTGTAACATCTATTTACAAAAAAAAAAAGTAATGCAGTGTATTTTCTTCCCTACAGCTTCATACTCTTGGAATGAAGGAAATGGTGGAGGAAACAACCCTGGCACCATGGGAAATACTGCTGGTCATTTGTGCTACAGTGCTGATCATGAGCTTCCTTATGGTCCTCCCCCCTGCAGTAGTGGTGATCTGGCGGATGAAGCGTGTGCCTCAGATCTCACTGCATGGCTCAGTGTAAGCCAGACACACATTCTTTCACAAGCTGCTTCAGAACTATGAAATCTGCCAGGATCACCTTTTCTGCGCAAGGTCCATCCCAAACTCACTGTTTTGCCACTCCATCTGTGTTAAGTCCCAGTAAAAAGAGAATGTGTCAAATTTTGTTCTCATTTGATGCAGCGCTTTGCCTTCTGTTTTCTGTCTACACCATACTGCTATTGGTAATGTAAGTAATATAGATACTTAATTCCTACGTTGTCATCTTCTCTTTCACTATAATGAAGTGAAAACAAAAAACAAAACTCCTTATTGAAAAGTAAGACTGTACAGTATTGTATTCCCTTAACTAATAACCAGTAAAGTCTGCCTCTCCATTGTTAAACTGCAAATATTACAAAGCCTTTGATATCATTGACAAGTTGTGAATGAATCAAAGCAAGCAATATAGTCTGGGGAGCTGGTTTAGTCTGGTTGTACTGTGAGACCTACAAAAATGCGGAACGGTGCAAGAAAGAAGCATCTTGTTCTTATTTTTCTGATTTGAAATTGTTGGCATATAATGTTTCTTGTTGCTTTACTGCAATATGAATATTCTTCTCTTTGCTAAATCCTGAGTGTCAGAATGCAAAGCCCTTCCCACTCCAGGGCTGGCACAAGAGGCTTAGCCCAGTGCTCAGACATGCCCAGTCAGATGCCAGCTCGTAGTTAATGCAAACATACAGCAACTATTTCCCTAAATTACATTATGCAAATTTAGTCTGGGAAGTAATGTCATTAAATTTACTTTAGTTTTTAACTGTGTTGTACAGGCTTATTGGTTCAGCTGCCCCTTTTCACATATAAGTAACAAATTGGATGGTGGGAACAGAACAAAACTCTGCCATTTTATAACAATAATAATTTTTAGCTTAATATCAAATTCATGCAATATCATATTAAAGCTTTCCAGCCTGATCTTCCACATTAAGTGAAGCTTATTAGTAAGATTTTTTATGCAAATATTTAACAGTTTCTATTACTTTACAAGAAGAATGGGCATGAGTTCCTTATGAAGTCCAATACTGTGTTTCTTTCCTTTGTTAGTTGGTTTGAAAAGTTGCTAGATTAGCTCAATAAAACTACAGAAAATTGTTTTTAGTACCAGTAGAAAAATGATAATGGAAAGTGCTCAGTGCTTCAGACAGATAATGCATTTGAGCATCAGCTGATAATGATTTGGCTGGAAATGAAAGACTCGAGGACATTATAATTTTGTTTGATACTGACAATTTGTTTGTCAAAAATAAACACCAATCTCTGAAAAACATTTGCTTTTCTTTAAGACTACAGCATTTTTCTCACAAATGCCGTGACTCAAACTACAGCCTTACAGTTCCTATGCAGACAAAGCAGCCAACTCATCCCTTGCTTGATGTAATTGCTACACTAACAAATAGTCATATGACTAGCTGGTTCCGAGCCCAAAAACAACGGGAGGATTTTTGCTTGCAATAACTGCATTCTAAGCCTGAAAGGCAGTGTGTAATTTTTACTAAATAATATTACTTAATTAAATCATTTAAGCAATTAATGGGGATTAAGTTCAGTTAAACATCGTGTGTACTGTAATTGCTGTCTGTGTCTGAAAGATTCACAAGGATAGGGAGAAGGTAAAGAGAAAGGAAATGCAAACAGATGGGCTGGTTGTCTTCAGACTCATGGCTTCAATGTTTGCTCAACAGATGAAAAGTAAAAGAAAACCCCAAGCTCAGATTCCACTGAAAAAACCAAGCAAGCAATAACTAAGCTTTCTGTTTAGCTTTCATCATAATCCACATACACATCTGCTCTGTAGCAACAGCTCCACAAATAAACTGCATTTCCAGTGCTATGTTGTCCCTGGTCTTTACCCATGTTAAATGCCAGGTGACCAAAAACCAGGGCTTTCTGCTCTTTATGCTTAGTTCTTTATATCTTTGGGTTTCCAGTGTACTCACGGGCATTACTGATGTGTAAGGACATGTCAAAGAAGGAGCACTTGCAGAAGGAAGTGAAGTGGAAGCAGGAACAACTAATTTTGTATTTCATTATAAGAATAAATTACAAAAATCAGTTGATCATATCTTTGTTCATATTTGAGTTGCTACATATTTGGATGATGAGCTATATTTTTGGTAGTGGTGGTAACAGCCAAATCTGCCTCAGTGTAGACTGGGTTTGGAAATATGGTAATGGAAGGGAGACCAGGGAGGGTGACTAGCCAGGAGCTGCAGATATCTTGGTCTAGGCCCGCGAAATGCCCCAGCACAGTTGTACTGGCACCAAAGCATCTTAGCCAGTCTGCCCTGCGCTCAGTCCAAAGCCCTAGAGCTCCACTCTAATGCAGCTGCCCAGAGAGGTTGTGGATGCCCCGTCCCTGGAGGTGTTCAAGGCCAGGTTGGACGGGGCCCTGGGCAGCCTGGTCTGGTATTAAATGGGGAGGTTGGTGGCCCTGCATGTGGCGGGGTGGGGTGGAAATTCATGATCCTTAAGGTCCTTCCAATGCAGGCCATTCTGTGATTCTGGATCTCAGGTGCTTTTGTATTCCTCCTCTGAAGTTCAATTACAGTTTGCAGTAACCTCTACCTAAGAAGACATGGTGGAAATTTCTGATAATTTAGGGTGATCCCATTTCTCACATTTTGTGCCAGGCTGAAATGTTGCATTTTTCCTGCTCTTTTATCTAGCTACAGCAAGAATACAGGGCACATTGAGTGCTATAAATGCTCTGAACTGTGCCTGATTGTATACACTTCTGTGGGACATCCTCAGGTTTGTAAATACAAAGGGAAAGATGTTTGAGCTGTTCCCCCAGCAAACTGCAGAGCTTCATATCCTTTGCTCCCGTGAGCCGCAGCTCCCTAAACACCTGTACGCACAGTCTGATTTCACCCCCGAACACACAGGCACGTGCACAGAGTTGTTTCCTATAGCCATAGCTGCTGTGACTTGCATAGTTTTAATGGTCACCAAAGCAACAACAGTGATTAACAACTGACAACTGTGAAAGCAACTAGAAGCACAACTCTTCCTCCATAAAAATGATCCATCTTTACAGAAGATGATTTCTGAGAACAATTACTGCGCTTAACTAATGAATGCATCAATTAAGAGGCTGTAATTCCCTTATAATTACGGTAAGACAAATTTAAGGCATAAAAATATAAACTGCATTCTTTGAAATGCCCCTGCTGTGAGCTATGCAACTAGATTTAGTGTATGCATCTGTACCCAAGAGCTGAGGTCAAATGGTGACTGTGATCTCAAATCTTTTAACTAAATACAAGCTGTATGTTCATAGCTCTTAGGAGGGATTTTACTGCTTTTCTTGTTGAAATACTCACATCCAACCACAGCCAGCCACTTGGTCTGTGGTACAAGCAAGCCATGCCTGCTAGTCCCTCCTGCTAATAACCACATATTAGACAGTCTGCCTCCTTGTCGTGGTTGAAGGTGTCTATGCCTTGCTTAGCAAGCTCTTTGAGGAAGGTGTCCAGCTGCTCGTGCTCACTGTAGGCTAATGTGTGCAGACAGCTGCTGTTGTCGGGGAAATAGGCAGATTCAGCTCCACTCATTGCTTTCTCTGAGGCTGGAAAGATCAAAGCCAGAAAAAACAGCTGAATTATGCAGCTAAACCCAGGTGTATTTATCCTGATTTTAAACAGTCACCAGCATTCCCATTTTCCAGGCTAGAAGCTTCAACTTGGAATAAAAGTGACTGCAGAACTGTTGTTTTTTTTTTAAGCCTTAGGAAATAAACTGTTCTAGTAACAACAGCAGTCAACAGTAAAGTACTTATAATTAAACATACAGGAGAAAGGTTGGTCTTTTCCTGTATGTGTGTGCATGAATATTTATTTTTAAATTATGGCAATAGCAGATTCAGACAGCTGTTTCAGGTCACAGACTGCTTGCTGGATGCAGTGGAAGCATACTTAGAACCCTTGGGCTGCCACATGATGAGATAATACTGCTGGCTAGGAACAGCTGCTGGCTTTTATGGTTTGTACACACAGCGAGTGGTGCAGGTGGTGGCCAGTTCTGTTGAGGCACTTTGGGTACAGTTGCAAGATAAACTGCCGTTTTGTGCTGCTGTTGCCAGTCCAGCTGGTCACACAATCACTGCGCCTCACAGCATTTGTGTCAAGATGCACCATCCCACAAACTTAATGGGTACAAGTGCTTTTTGCTAGTCCAAGCTTAAATAGCAGCGCTCACCAGCACAGACCTTTGTGGTGGTTTTAAAACAAGCCAGATTTCTGGTCCTGTAGACTAGAGGCCAGTCCAGCATCAGCTCTCAGAGTCTCACAAGTGACAGCGAGGTTTTTCCTCTTTCTCTCCCTTTTTTTCCATCCCTGAGTCCCCCACACCCATACTAAGATGTTTGAGGGCTACTCACATTCACAGACAGCCAGTGTTTGCCCTCCAGTCAGCTGAGTCGTCCAGGTGAACCCAGTGCTACTACCACAGCTTTCATACAGCCTGCTTCTTCTGAGGAATGAGAAATCGTAACCCTTGGGGAAGAGGAATGGGATAAACACAATTCAGCCTGTATCACAGTAACCATAAGTGAAGAAACATTCAGCCAGCAAACATCAATACAAACACTACAATTTCTCGCTATCAAAAAGGGGAAAAAAAAGTATAATGAGGAAATAATGCACCATACCATAATAAGCATCTGTAAATTAATGAATAAAGCCAGAAAGCTAGTAGCAGTGAACTGTGACTATTACCTTGTTGCACATGGGTTTGCAGTACTCAGTGCTGCCAATAGTGATGCACACTATCCCACCATTCTTAGGGGCAATAGGCTGCGGGCACTGAGGCAGATGCTTGCAAACTTTCACGTGAGTTTAAAAAGAGGAAAGAAAAAGAAAGAAAAAAGAAGTGAAAATGGGTAGACCAGTCTCTTCCCAAGCAAACTAAATGCATAGTCATTGACCTGGTGCAGGTGATAACTTCCCCATTACCTGACGTGGGCAAAGCAGGCTTTTTTGTTTGCTTAAAAGTTTTTTTGGTTTTTTTTTGGCAATGCTCAATTTTTCCATCACTTGTTGCTGTGAGAACAAAGGGCCTGGCAGCAGAAGTTACGCTTTAGAAGTGGGTGAAAGAGGCCTTTGCATTCACAGCATCAACATTCAGCGCTGTTGGAGTTAGAACTACCCAAGCATGTCCCAGAACAAGACTGAGGTGCCCATTCCCAGGTCCAACACCACCGCAGGGCTTCCCTGCCTCCCAGATACAGTGGCAAGCATCCTTGCTCTCTAGATTCCTGCTGTGATTCCTTTTCTTTTTAATTTTTTCCCTAAAAAAATGCAGGGACTTAGCTCATGCTGAATGCAGTTTAAATATATATATATCCTGTGGCATCTTTGCTGCTGCTTCATTCAACACCCAAAGAAGAGAAATGTGGCTGCAGTAGGGGTCTCACATTTGCCTTGCAAAGGTTGCAGAAGAGTAAGACTGTCTTTCAGTATCCAGATAAAGCGATTGAGTGAATCTCGTCCATCTTTTTTGGCCATTTCAGAAAGGCATGTTGAATATTTCTATGGAGTTAGAAGGGAAAAAACAATACATTGAGTAGGAAAAGCCTTGGAATAAATTTAAGAATAGATAGGGTTCTTCATACTGGGACTGAGAAAACACGTCTTTGTAAACAGTTGTATGTACCTCCTTTCTGCATAATACATTGGTTTGTTACTTCTGTTTCTGAATGTTAGCGTCTCACAGAGTTCCTCTTTGTGTAAGTAAACATAGGCATTTGTGAAATCTCAATCACAGAATCATAGAATGGCCCGAGTTGGAAGGGACCTCAAGGATCATGAATCTCCAACCCCCCATCACAGGCAAGGCCACCAACCTCCCGATTTAATACTAGACCAGGCTGCCCAGGGCCCCATCCAACCTGGCCTTGAACACCTCCAGGGACAGGGTGAAAGTGTAAACAAAGAAGTATCTGTAGTTTTATTTAGCTGTTTGCTCTATGTAAGCATGAATGTATCTTTCACTCCACATGTATGTGCATGTGTGGATAGAGAAAAACTGTGGGAAACTCCTCAGGTGACTGCCATCTCTGTAACAGACCCCGGTTAGTGTGTACTTAGACATAAGAAAAAGTCCAGCTCAGCACTCTGTGTCAGCCCTCAGCACTTGTCAACAACAGGTAACCGAGCTTTCAGAGACATCAGTGGAAGTGATGGGCATAGGTCGTACATTAAAGAAATACTCTTTCTACCATTTCTACCAAGGTTAACTGGCTGGTCACTCTATTGTGACATACTTGTCCCACACAGGGTAAGGCACAAAGTCACAAAGCAGAGGCTTTCAGTGGCTTTATTTGCATTTAAACTATTTAACACTATTTAAGGGTTGAAAACATTGCACAAGAGATAAAAGAGATGGTTGTTTATATGCAAGCCCCTTTGTATATGCAGAGCAAAGTAAAACTGGAAAACACATCTATAAGGCTATTTTTTGACTAGCAGTAGTAGGATCAAAGACACAGCAGATCAGTGCCTGCACTCATATTTTGCTCTTTCGTCTCCTCCCCTGCTGTCATGCACAGGAGCACAGAATCACAGAAACACAGAATGGCCCGGGTTGGAAGGAACCTCAAGGATCATGAATCTCCAGCCCCCTGTCACAGAGCAGCTGAAGGAGACACTATGCAGAGCTCTCCCACAAGATCATCCTGCTTCATGTGCCTGCCCCACAGGGCCCTGTTACCCCAGCCAGCAGCAGAAGGAATCTGTGTAACTACCCTGGTTTAGTCCTCTTACCTGAAGGCTCTGAGTCACGTTATCTATGGTTGTACTGTCGCAGTCACTCTGACTGGCAAAAGCTCCAGTTTCAGACAAATCTGAAAGACATACAGAGATGTATATAGTTAGTTGATTAATGAACCCTTATGGCACCCACATAAACCCCAAAGTTCACATAACATTACTTGCTTATGAGAATCGTGCCACTGAGCTGCAGTCTTAGTGCTGTTTTGTATACCTGAGGCAACTGGGTATTAAGTGGGACTAAATTGCACAGTCAGCAATCTAATTGCATATTGGTGGCTACTCAGGGCTGTGTTCCCAAGTAGAATATCTCCTTGCTGTAAGATAGTCAGTTTTTAAGTAATTATTATTCACATCAAAAAACAATATTACCTCACCTGAAAGAAACCCTGCTAAACTTACAAAAAACAGCATTCTCCAGTATGGGCAGGAGCTAAATGGCATTTTTGCTGCAGGAGATCAGGGGCTGGCTACCTACTGCTGGTGGAGCCTGGAAGATTAAGTGCTGGAACCAGACAGACCGCTACATGTAAATAAGTGTCTGGCTGTTTGCACTGTGCCTATCACCAGCACCCGGTGTGGATGCAGTATTGCCCAACCTACCAGGAAGCCACTGGGCAATTTGCAGAGTGCTTTGAGGAGGATAAGGGGAGGGTCTTGTTACCATGCTGAGATGGGCTGGCTTTGGATTAATTACTGTTGTATTGTAAACATGGTTAGCACATGCTTTCCTGCTCTTGCTCTCTTCCTCTCTAACTCTATTGCTATATCTGTCTCCTGAGTTAGTTTGTCTGTCTCATGTGCACATTCATTTAGAAGACATAATTGTACTGAAGGACCTCAGCCTTATATCTCACTCTGAAAGAGAAAGCTCAGGACAGCAGATAATGGCTAAATAGACTTGGATCGAGGAGCTGTGCAATGTTATCTGGTAGCATCCAGAGTTTAGCTACTTAGTAAGGAAGGCTTCCAGTTTCCATAGGGTTTCCATTTCAGATTATTAAATACAAACTAAACAAAGTGGAGACCCAGGCAGAAAAAAAAAAAACCACAAAATCCTGAGAACATGAATCTATTCTCCAAGTATACCATATCAGTAGCATGGTATTTCTAGATGTAGTTTGCATTTTTTTAAATAGGTCCATGAATTTCATACACCCTTACATCCATTCACAGGAAATGCCAATTAATTAGCAAAATTACCACTCAAGTTTAATCATTTCTACCTTTTACTAGCAGAGTATTTCAGTAATCCAGATACTGCTGACATGCTGGGAGTGATTGGCTGACTGCCCCATTTGCAGGGGTCAGGTCTCAGTGCCCAGCCTCTTACCAAATGCACAGGCCTGTGCCAACCCCGTGTGGCCCACCAGCAGCACATCCCAGCACCTCAAACATCAGGTCTGTTCTTTGGTCTCTGATAGTATGTAGCCAACCTACAGCACACATTTTGTGCTTTACATCACCTATCCTAGGGTATGTACATGCATTTTAAGAAAATAACAACCCCTCCATACACATCACCACCACCAAATTCCTTAATGATTCTTCCTTTTACTGTTTGTGTAGCACAGTTCAATTTTTTCTGCAGATATTTGTTTTGGTTGAGACATAGATGTTCTGCTTTCATGCCAGGTTGCAAAACATATTTATTTATGCAGCAGTCTTTCAGGGGTCTTTGTATTTATTTTGCTTCCTTGTTTGCTTCTCTTAGTTTCAGTATAACCCATTATGAGATCCTGAAGCTGTGAAGCCAATGGCAGGGCCTCTGCTGTGCTGACAAAATATGCTTTCTTGTCCTTGTCTTGGAGAGGTCTCGATAAAGGGATGCAGGTAACCGTAACCCACTTCCACAAAATAGTTCTATGCCAGCATGAATGGTGACAGCCTTCTTAATCATAAAAATAATCCTGTATACAGTCCTGTAAGCTCATTAGCCAAACAACTTTTTAATACCAAAAAAAGCCAAAGTTTGTGTTTCTAGGCAGACCAATAGGACCTAGCCCCAAACAGTTTACATTTTTGAGGCTTACACACAAACAGCAATCTTGTTCCTTCTGTGATCAGCAATATGCAGCTAGGTAATCACTTTTGCCAATTATTTAAGGTGCATCTGTACATTAAGGTATTTGTCTGCCAGAACATGTTTACGGGTCTAACGAAGGCCATTGATAAACAGTGTAAGGAGGTAGGATGCTACACACAAACCTACTACTTACTCTGCTCAACTCACAATTCACCTAGCACATTAGCATGATGAGTAAAGCGGAAAAGCTTCTGGCTTGAGCAGACGTAGTTTTGTTTGTGACAGACCGAAAGAAGAGAATAAATGGCAGCTTTTCTTAAACAATCATCACAGTCATGCATTCTCCACCTCAACATCTGTTTGGATGACAATCTGCAATGAAAGTCAATCTGGAGAAAAATATGGGGTAGCAGGACTTGTCCAGGGCAGACTATCTAACAGGCTGCCGTTTAAAGCATAAAACTAGAGTTTAGTGACTCCTGGAGCCATATGCAGGTGAACCTTGTACCGTAGCATTAAGTTTGTCCTTGTTGCCTGTTGACAAACAAAACTTTTCACAGAGGATAAAGAGGATAAAGGTCCCACGTCCTCCTGAACTAAACAAGCCTGGGATCAATTTGTGGTCCTTTGCAAACAATTTACTTACTTCTTTACTTTATAGAACGGTATAATACTATCGCACAGCAACAACATCCTTGTCATCAGTTTCAATCACAACTAACCCATCGTACTCACCAGGTACCCAGAAATGGTACAAGGCAAAGCAGCCACCATCTTCAGCAGCAGCGAGGGTGCAGGTACCCGGATTTAACAGCTGAGTACCTGCACAAATGCCGACATGCTTTCTACACAGACTTGCTCCCTTAGCTGCAGAGGGACGCACAGCCATCTAGTGGTTAGTTCTTTGATGAGAGACTGCTGGATAGGCCAGTGGTACAAATTTTAACCACGTAGTATATGTGTTTTTCTGATGTTCTGCAGTTATTTCTCTGCATTTTTTATTTTATTTCAAATTTAGATAAAATATAATACGTTGTGCAATAAACCTAACATTTGGGAGCAAATATTACTTTAGAGAATACTGTCAAGGGCAAACTTAAGATTTTAATACCTTTTCAAGTTTCTATTAATGAGAAGGACTAAACAATAATCACGAATGTGGTGAAATATAAATTCATATCACAATTCCAAAAGCTATTAAAATTTAATCACATTAATAAACAAAAATCCTACAAGAGTATTAAAGGCTAAGTGGAGAGGACTATTATACTGTAATGTTAGAAAACAGGAAGAGACACCCTCACATGCATGGTAGGAAAAAGCTTTTTATTGTATGATTGTTTTATAGGAGAACACGTTTCAAAAACACAGGTAATTGAAACACAACAGTAACAGCACATACTTGGTGAAGAATATTTAAATATTATGTACCTGGTAACATCTTCCACTAAAGAGGCCAAGATACAGTTATGTGATATCCAGCCTTCTCCCATCAAAGCAACCCCCAGCTGTACGCAGTGCTAACTCCAGTAAGGAAATTGGACCCCAGAATTTCCCATTGTCTAATTAGAGGTAAGAGATCTGCTGATCCTTAGTCAGTTGGGAAAGTCATCCATTCCTTTGCCCATGAAAGGTTTGACGTTCAGCCATTGGTTTGAGTACCTGAGTCATACTTGACCTTTATCAAAGGAACCAATGGAGCAGCAATAAAAAGTAAACTGTATTTTGTTGTCTTATGTTGATTAAAAACAAGATTCTGTTTTGTATATTTTAGATAATGAAGGACACCGAGGGCTAAAAAAAAAAAAAAAAATCAATCTCCAAGAAAATATCCTTTCCTTTCTTTCCATTTAAAATCTAAAATTCCTTTGGTTAAATACAAAGCTGTCAAATCTGATTTTTGGAAGCATCCTCATCTTAGTGAACTTTTCTTCCTTTTTGTTTTTAAAGATAGATGGCAAGGGTCAAAACACAAGCTTTTTAGGCACCTCCCATGAGAATTCGTTTCTTCCAAAGTGACCATAACATGCAGTCTTCTGGTAAATGGGCTTTTTTAGATCCAAATCCCTGTGTGAATAATTAGAAAAAACAAAAAACAAAATCACCATGTAATATTCATAGCATTTATGAATAAAATCTTGACATAGATATCCAATTCATAACCTTCACCTAGGAAGCATATTCTAAAGATGTAAACATATCAGTGATTGTGTCCAAATGTAAACTGAGTTGCAGAATCACAGAACTCCAGATGTGATCTTGCCAGGGCAGAGTAGAGGCAGAGGAGCACCTCCCTTGACCTGCTGGCAACATTCAGCATAATGTACCCAAACCATACAGCTGACAACAAAACATACATGTGAACTCCTTAGGGCTACAGGAAATGTTCTTTTTATTGAAAATAATGAGTTTTAATAGAAAAGAAGAAGTACATTCCACTCATTTCATAAAATTAAACCTATTTCTTTTTCATAGCAAAATAAGATAAAAAAATATTTTATATTGTAGAAGAAATGTTAAGTCACAGCTTGAAACAGTGATGGAGCACCTCGTGGGAAGGCAGGGCCAACTCAGAGAAGCTCAGGTGCGCTCAATGCAGCTGAGTGACCAGAAGGGCTGGAGCCAGGATCCACCCTTCACAGACCTCATTTAAGGGTTGGCAGGGGAAGCAAAGGGATCTTGTTAGAGCTCCCTATGTATTTGAAGTTTTGCAAAGGTAAGTAGCTTACTGCTTGTTTTTTTTTTTTTTTTTTTTTTTGTTTTTTTTTCTCCCCCCTTCTCTCTGTCCATTTGTGTCATGTTTCAGTATTTTCTCTTTTGCTGTAGCCTGGTGTTTTGCTTTTGTTCTGTTGTTGCTATGCTTTCCGTCATGTTACAGCTTTATGTATATCAATTCCATTTAGTATATTTGGTCAAAGGCTGGAAGTATATGAAACTTGAAAACAACATCTGTCATTTAAAAATACATGGCATGCTAGTGCTACATCAAAGCTATCAACTATGCAGTCTGACAAAAGGTCTCTTTAGAAGTGCACAGAACAATTCTGAGCTGGCTTAGTAGGATCATTATCACACTGCTATATCTAACAGTTCTGCAAGAAAGCAGTTCTAGGGTGTGATCAACAAGGTGTTTCTATATCTTTCTGCTTTCTTACCTGACAATGACTCCAGGCCGCAGATCAAAGTTTTTGTGCACGATGTCCAGCAGCTCTTTCTCTGTTTTTTGGGAGGTTCCGTAAGTGAATAGTGAGATTGAGAGTGGTTGAGCTACTCCAATGGCGTAAGAAACCTATGGGAAAAAAATACACCATAGTTAACAAATAAGCATGGTGCTTCAGTGGGCAAGAGTATGCAGAAATCCAAGTATTTTTTTCAGGACCATTCTTATGAAGACTATGCCTGGTATTGGCACTACCTGTATTTGTAGAGAAAATAATCTTTGTAAACATTGAAGTTTCTGGATAATTTTTTTCCCTGTTACCTATGCTTGTCCCCATGACAGTAAGCATCAAGGTTAAGCTCAGTGAATGTCTGGAAAAGAAAGTCAAGAAAATGGAAGCTAAGCAAAAAGGGCCAGGTTC